TTTACTAAGTTATGCCTTACCCGCTGGTGTATCATCTTCATTGCTATGGTGACTAAACATCTCCGTGTCTGCTAGTGCCTGCTCAATTGCAACATCACCTTCATCTGCTATCGAGATCATCATTTCTTCCTGAGATTCTACTTCAGAAGGAATTTTATTTAAAAAACTCAATTAATTTCAGTCAAGCTTAACAGTAAACGATTTACTATTAATAAAGAGCATTTGTCCTCCACTTTCCATGACCAACAGACACCATTTTCAGTATGTAAAAATGAGTTTATATGAAGTTTAGGTAAGATTTATTTCAAGATTCATTTTTCTGGATCATGAAAATAGAAATTGGCTTAAATATTTATTATTTGATTATTAATATTGATAAGGAATGATAAAGATTACCTCCATGATATCTTGGACTAAGTCTTCTAGGACTTGTTGCAATGAGTGTCTCACCAAGGATTTCCGATGCAACTGCAGAGGTAGGGCTTCTTTGCATCAACTCATCCATCATTTGATCAAAGGCAGCTTCCGCCTGAAGAACAGTATTATATTTAAAGTGATGGTAATCAAAATGGTTGTCAAAAATGAGCATACAATTAAGTATAATGCCAGATTCAGCATTTACATCCAGAAGAATGATGATTTCCATTCGTCAACAACATGTAGTCGACAAATGGCCCATGTCAGCATCACAAATAAGATCAATAGTACACCGAAGAATGCTGATAGATTATATAGAAATCTTGTGTAAATTTTTAGATCATCAAAAAAAATACCAAAAACAGATGAAATAGATAATACTGCACACTGCATCACAGGATGTTATAAGAAATGATAGCTAAGTATGCTTACAATTGCATCATGAACTGAGCTTGAGAAGATACAAACCTGTAAATTAGATGTATCTTGTGAGTTCTGTTCCTGAGTTAGTAAATCTGAAGGCTCAGATTCATTCATTTCAAGTAGATCTTTAAATAAGAAGAATTAGATTATTTAATATAAATAAAGCTTGTTTACCAAATAAGATTTCTTAAGATAAGATAAACTTTATTGCTACAAAAAAGGTAATTTGGTACTCGCATTAGTATATACAACAGTAAAATAATAAAACAATTATCAAATGCAGTAAAATACAAACAATAAGATTTCAACATACGATTTATATATACTTAGACAATGACAACCAATTACAGTTAACAGTAATATATGGTTAAGGCTCAATGCTTTTAAGTCCCTCATTCAGGTATTGAGTCCATTTGACAGCTTTAGAGGTTTATGCACCATTGAGACAAAAAACAAAAGAAACCATTGTAATGCCTAGACCAGTAACAACCAAGGACTCT